CTTGAATTTGAATATGTGATGTCGTTTGTGTTTGTTTTATATGTTTATTTGGATTTTTGATTGGTGGGTTTTTGGTTTGTAGGGATTCTTGGATAGTCAATTTAGTCAGCTGTATCAACTTCAAGATGAAAGCAACCCAGAATTCGTGATTGAAGTTGTGTCTCTCTTCTTTGAGGATTCTGAAAGGCTTATCAATGATCTTTCCAGCGCTCTGTGAGTCTCTCTCTGTGTTGTATTTATGTACAAATGTATGTATACGGATGCGGAGGGGCCTCTGATTCGATCTTAAATGTGAACCTTGTGGAGAAATCTAGCTTATTGACTTAACTTTACAATATGAAGACTCGTTTGGGAAGTTAAATCTTGAAATCTGACTAGTAGTATAAAGCTTTGGATGGAGCGAATTGCTCGTCTTTGTTATTGGGGTTTTTTTATGTCTTCTTGCAGGGATCAGCCTGATGTGGATTTCAAAAAGATCGATGCTCATGTTCATCAGCTGAAAGGAAGCAGCTCCAGGTATCATAGATTTCTTGGTTTATAGACATACTAGCATACGAAAGAAAACTTTTTAGACTATCAACCTAATTAGCGTCTGAAGTTTGATCCTTGTTTGTTGAATTAGTATGATTTTTAAGTAATATTGCTTGATGTTGTTACAAAATTGAGTAAAACATTTAGGATTTCAGTTTATCTCTCTGGACTCATTATTGGTAATTCGTTTGCTTTTTATGACAAATAATTAAGTGCCACAGCAAATTAGGGTAATTTTGATAAAATCCAAGGAAAAAGAGGCAAAAACGGTAACATTTTGTTTCTTATATATAGATTGATATTGGATGTTACTGTTCTGTGTTGTACTAAAGATTGGTGTTTGTGGTAAAACAGCATTGGTGCTCAGAGGGTGAAAAATTCTTGCATTACTTTTCGCAATTTCTGCGAAGTGCAAAATACTGATGGGTAAGAATTTCTTGATCTCCCTCTGCCCCCCTTTTTTGCCTCTCTGAAAATTAAATAAAATAGACGAGCAGAATGAGAGCCTGTCTGCACGTAAACTTTGAACCTTTCGAGTGTAAATGAGGCTTATTTTGTAATGATATAGGTGTGTGAGATGCTTGCAACAAGTTAAACAAGAGTATCTGCTAATCAAGAGCAAGCTTGAAGCTCTATTTCAGGTGAGTTGAGAGGTTTTTTCTTGTGGAAAAATTTCAAATTCTGAATCCTTATGGTCATGTGTGTTGGATTATGTGGAGCCTATCATACTGTACATTTATCCCATCAATCAGGTGTATCGGCATAATAATCCTACTATAAAAAGGACTTTAGGAGGACGAAGCAAAAATTGTGTACTCTTCCCTAGGATTCATTAGAAAAATATAGAATTTCACTATCAAATCGAAAAAGAATCCCCTCTTTTTTTGTGTTGCATCAAATTTTTCCTTGAAACTTGTGTAAATGGTTGATGTTTTGTTAACGATGCATACCAGTAATGACATATGGACATAGCTCTCACTCTGAGGGTCAACCACTATAAACTCGTGTGTTTTTCTTTTCATTACATTCTGTCTATTATTGCTCTCATAAAGTGTTAGGCCTTTAATCCCCTTACAATGTGCTCCAGTCCTAATCTGAATTCTGCTTCTAATAACAGTTGGAGAAACAGATTGTGGCAGCTGGTGGATCGATTAACATGGTGGACTCGATGAACTAACAATGCAGAGGCATAGGAAACATATTAGGTTCTGTTTGGAGAAACTTGTCTGAGTATTTCTTTTCTTTTTCTGTAAATTACTTTGTTAAGCTTAAGCTACTTTTAGCTTCTGAGGTTCTGCCTTTTATCAACTTTTATGAAACTGATATGCTGCATCTTGTTCTGAACTTGGAAGTTTTAG